TTTTCAGCCTCTTCTTGGCGAACAAATCCCCCCTCCAGAGCAAAAGCAGGCCCAATAGCAAGTTCAACTTTTGGGATTTCCATTTTATTTAATACATCAGCCTGGCAATTAATCATCACCTTTCCAACACATTCAAGCAGATGTTTGTTGTGATCTGTAATCAGGTGTTAGACCAGGAAGATTGAACCAAATAATCTAGCATAAAGTAGAAATTGAAAGCAGAAGTTCAAGAGTTTTTGTTGTTGTTGTCTGTTCTTTGGTAAGTCACCTCACAGGTTATTAGCCAGCCTGTGTTTGAACCACTATTTGGGCACCTTCTCTATTCTAATAAAGCCTCATCCCTGCACAAGCATCCTAACCATTTTTCTCAAATGGAGAGAGGGGTGCTATAAACAACCCAATTTAGTCTAGAAAGGGAAACTAAATATTTTGTGTAACATCCAAATACTTTCTGGTTGCCAATTTTGGTTCTAGAGAAATGGACAAAATTTCTCCCAACCTCAGGCCAGGCATAGTAGCTCACACCTATAATCCCAGCACTTTGGGAGACCAGGTAGGCGGCTCACTTGAGGTCAGGAGTTCACGACCAGCCTGGCCAACATGGTGAAACCCCATTTACTAAAAATACAAAAAAAATTAGCCGGACATGAAGGCTCCCAACTACTCGGGAGGCTGAGGCAGGAGAACTGCTTGAACCCAGGAGGTGGAGACTGCAGTGAGCCAAAATCCACAGTACTTGAGCCTGGGCAACAGAGCCAGACTCAGTACTTTCAAGAAAAAAAAAAAAAAAATTCTCCCAACTTCATAAGTAAACTGCCTAAACAAATCAAGATTCATTTTACCGTTCATTTAGCAGAAGAGTAAGGTACCAGAGTTTATGTATTTCGCCAGATAACTTTATCATCCTCCAACCCAAAGACTAGAGGTTTTAATTATCTCAAATGAACTTGAATTCTTTGGAACTTATGATTATCATAATATCTCTTGTTAGAAAAGTGAGATTTCTAAAACCTAGTAAGTAATCATAAAGGTATAATTTTGCCACTAATAATGCAAGTTCTTAACAGCTGTCTTGGCCTCACAGGTCATAAACTAACAGCCTCAGTAACAAAATATTTAATAGAAATTAGTGAGACAGGTCCAATGATGTGGGCCAAGAGAGGAGAAATGAGAAGTGGTAGGAACTGTGGCCAACTGGAGAGAGTATGCACGTCTAAAGGGACTCAGGGCAGGTAATTCCAGCCCCTGTATATTGTTAACATGTAAGAACATAAACCCAGAGTTGCCAGATCTTCCAGTTTTTCAAGAGAATCTGGAATAATGAATGTTCTATGGTTCTCTTGTTAAATATTGGCAATTAATTAAAAAACAAACAAAAGACATTGCATAGAGTAACAATGAATGGCACAAACAAAGCTCAATTATCTCTGATGCTCCTTTCAGTTTTAAATCCTGCTCACCTTGTTTATTAGTACTATTAATAATGACTCAGAGAAAACTCTTGAGAGTCTTAAAAAGATCCTAATAAAAGTGCTCATAACATAAATATTATAAATAAAAGTCAGGTTTCACATGAACTGGAGACACAAAGAAATACTTTGTAAGTAGCTCAACCTCATGTAAGCTTTCATTTTCCTAAGGTTAAGATAGCTTTTAGTAATTCAAACCAAGAATTAAAATCAAAACTAAAAATCTAGCTAGTTCATTTATAAAGCTTATTGACCATTTGGGTACATATTGCTGCAGTATATATTTCTACAGTATGAATAAGGCCATCATAATATTAAACCTCAGACTTCTGCACAAACTATTATAGAAGACTCAAAAGCCAGTTTCAAGTGTCAAACGCTATTTATAAAAATGTTACAAAGTGAAATGTGCAATTCTGTTGGATGACAAAGAATACAAAAGACAATCAAATTCTGAAACAGAATTCAGTATTTCCCACAGAGGAAAAGAACAGAACTGTGATTGAGAAATGGAGATTAATCTGTACTAAAAAGAATGGCTTACAGCCCGGGTCTCCAACCCGATATAAGCCATAATCACAGATATGTTTATTTGCACAGTAGCTGTTGCCGAATTTCAGTCTACCATGTGCTTATTATTCACCAAAATAGTAATCATATCTATACCTTTGAAATATTTCCTATGAATTCTTGCTCCTTATGAAATCTCTTAATCTTCCCTGATTATTTTTTATTGCTATTGTTGTTTGTCTTTACAAAATCTCCTTACCAAACTTTGGGGAACAAAGGCCTTTCAGGTTGAAAAATTCAAACTGTCCAATCAAGTATTGGCCAATATTAATGTTGTAAACTTGTAGGTCTCTTTGTATCTATTCTCAATATTCTCCATGGCAATTTTTCTCACTAGTGCCTTGCTCTTTTCTTTCTCCTGCCTCTATCCAAAGCCACAATTTTACCAATTTCTCTAATAATTTTTACAATTATCCTACCTAAACATGTTTTATGTAAATTAACCTTACCTTTTGTTTAATGTAAGCATTACACAACGTACACTAGAACTTAATATAAAGTGCAACGGGCATAGTAATTTTAACTATATTCGTTGTCTTAGTATATTTGGGCTACAATAACAAAATTCCATTAACTGAACAGCTTATAAACAGCAGAAATTTGTTTCTCACAGTTCTGGAGGCTAGAAAGTCCAAGATCAAGGCACCAGCAGATTCAGTGTTTGGTGAGGATCACAGAATCTCAGTGTTTGGTCTGGCTCATAGATGGTGCCTTCTCACCATGTTCTCACAGGGTGTAAGGGATGAAAAAATTCCCTTGGGTCTATTTTATAAGGGCACTAATTCCATTCATGAAGGTGCTGCCCTGCTCCAGTCACCTTCCAAAAGGCCTTACCTCCTAATACTATAGTCATGGGGATTAGGATTTCAATGTAAATTTTTGAGAAACCCAAATATTAAGACCTAGGTACTGGTCTATTAAAATATCTCATTAAAAAATCTAAAGCCCTCTTGCCTAGTATCTAAGTTTTCCATTTCCAGAGATGAGTAAGCTAAAATACATGTATAATGAAACTTACATAAAGTTCTTTAAATAACATTTTCTTAAATAACAAATGTAATCATGAAATGCTTTTTCAAATACAATATAATTTCATAATGAATTTGCTTATAATTAAGTGGAATTTGATACATGTTGATGGTTCCATATTAGAGTCCACTCAACTAGTTTCTTAAAATACTTTCTGATTATAAAAATAATGTTCTCACATTCTGGGGGGTAATTATGAAAATCAGATAATTAGAGGGAAAAACTGAGCATAATCTTAATCACACAGTCTGTTTAGTTATAATGCTGATGCTTATCATTCAGATACAAAACACAAAGTTGAAACCAAACTAAATTTGAATGTGCTTACAAATATATTTAAATCCATGGAATTTGATAAAATCATCTAGGGAGAGTATGGTTAAACAAAAATGGAGTTTAGAAAAGAAAAAAAAAGTACATCAATATTTGAAGAAAAGTGAGAGGAAGAACAGCAAAGAGAAATATGACAGAATAGCCAATGAGATAGAAGGCAAACCAAGAACATGTTTCACTGAAGGCAATAAAAAGACTACTTTAAGAACGAAGGAGTGGTCAACCATGCAAAATGTGCCAGACCTTACTGAGTACAATACAGAAAACTGTCCAGTGGATTTTGCTATGTAGGGACTAATGGCTACCCATTTGATAAGCAGTTTCAGAAGAACCCAAATCAGATTGGTTATATACACCTCACGAGAATCAGCTGAAAAATTATTGGCTTTAATGAACAACTTAAATTGGTCTGATCTTTTACAAAATAAATATATAGCTATCAGTATCACCTATATAAAGCCACTTTTAAAAACTATAAAGAAGTATAAAATTGGAAAGAAAATCCATTTCCAACTACACAAAAATGTAGGCATACATAGGAAATGCATGGAGATAAAAGAAACTCTAAACTTTGCTGAGAAATAAAAGATGTATATACGCCAGGTACAGTGGCTCACACCTGTAATCCCAGCACTTTGGGAGGCCGAGGTGGGTGGATCACCTGAGGTCAGGAGTTCAAGACTAGCCTAACCAACATGGTGAAACACCGTCTCTATTAAATACAAAAAATTATCCAGGCATGATGGTGCATGCCTGTAATTAATCCCAGCTACTTGGGAGGCTGAGGCAGGAGAGTCGCTTAAACCCAGGACATGGAGGTGATAGTGAGCCGAGACTGTGCCATTGCACTTTAGCCTGGGCAACAAGAGCAAAAACTCTGTTTCAAAAAAAAAAAAAAAAAAAAAAAAAAAGCAAGTAAATAAGAAGATATACCAGATCTTAAACTAAAAAGGTTGACTACCTTAAATTCATTAATTCACATCCATTCAACCAACATTTATTGATTTCTTACTTCTATGAATCTAGGCACTTGGAATGGATTAGCAAATAAAGCATGTAAAGCTCAAAGCTTAGAGTAATTTGATTTCAATGGGGTTATCCCTTATGTTTCACCATTATACTGTCCTATTAATATCTATCTTTTCTTTTAAAACCAAGATTGAGAATTCTATCAAAGCCTTCTTTCTCCTTTGAACAACTAATGTTCTGTATTGGCATTACTTCCTAACATTAGTCCATTACTGAATTGATTTTCTACCCTGCTGTAGTGGGTTCTTCTGTTTGTTTTGAGACAGAGTCTTGCTCTGTCGCCCAGGCTGGAGTGCAGTGGCATAATCTCGGTTCACTGCAAACTCTGCCTCCCGGGTTCCAGCAATTCTTGCGCCTCAGCCTCCGGAGTAGCTGGGATTACAGACATGCACCATCAGGCCAGGCTAATTTTTGTATTTTTAGTAGAGATGGGGTTTTGCCATGTTGCCCAGGCTGGTCTCAGGACTACTCGTGGACTCAAGTGATCCACCCACCTTGGCCTCCCAAAGTGCTGGGATTACAGGCGTGAGTCATTGCACCCGGCTGCAGGGGGTTCTTTTAATTACTGAATTCAGTATGTTAGTATTTTATTTGGGATTTCTGCATTTATATTAAAATGTGCATTTAATAGCTCAATAACGCAATTTGTCTTATCAGTTAGCAATACACAAATGCAATTATTTTTAAATCAATAAAAGGTAACTAAAATTAAATCTTTCAGTGACGAATTTCAGCAGAGTAAGAGATCTAATAACAGGCTGACATAAGAAATATTTGTCTCAAAAATCAATGTATTTAATAGTTGACAGTTACAAATCTCATTACTGTTCCTTCAGTAAAATTTATTCCCAAAGTTCTCAATCAAGTATGTTTTTTCAGTTTTCCAACAGCTGTGCTTTTTCTTCTTTTGGTCTATTCAGTAGAAAGTGAACTATCTGAAGTAGAACATCATCATTAAAACCCTTCACATCATTATCCTCAATTGTTTCATAAAGAGGCTTACTTTGTGTACCCCAACATATATTTTTACGAGGGTTATTTTGATCAGCTTGTGTAGTCAGTGCCAAAGTATTTAGCTGGTAGCAGAAAAAGGAAAAGTATTTTCCATCTGTGATCACAGCCTGGGAGACAAAAGGTCGAGTAACATCTGCTTCACTCCAGAATCCTGTAGAAGAAAGTTATGCTGAAATTTACGTACAGAATATATCTTACCCAAACAAAACAAACACATTAGACATTAGAGGGTATCAAATACCTCCTACAACTTACTTTATGTAACAAAATCCCTGAAGACCTCAAAGTTTCCTTATCATCTCCATTCTAACCCTGTATTTAATTTCTGCACAAATAATATTTTCCTCCCTTCTACTATCCTCGATCTCATGATTAATCTTTTTCAACAATGTCAGCCTTACTTGCTTCATCTAAGAGCAGCAAGCTCTATCTATGCAGATGCCTTCTACATCTGGTACTATGTCATTACTCAACTACCAAGCAGTAACTTTATTTCTCCACACGTATCTTACGTCATCTTTAATGGAGATAGCAAATGAATAATACTGTTAACATACGGAATTAATTTTATTGTAAAAGGAAGTACTTTATCTTTCAAAAATAAACAGTGCCATTCTACCATCTTCAAGAAAGTTACTTCTTTCTTATGTCTAATTCCGTCTACTCCTACTCCCACTTTCTCTATTCAATTCTGTTACAGAAATCTAACTCGATTTTGAGTATAACGTTAAAATACATATATACGTTAAAAAAAAAAACATGTATTACATTACTTCAGGTTTTAGAATACAATCCAAACGCCCCACAATGAGCTCTAATAGTCCTGTAAGATATAGGCTTTGGCTTCTGCTATGTCCTTCTACATCATTCTCCTTGTCCCACTCTTCGTTACCCTTCATGTTGTTCCTAAATATTTCAGGCCTGTTCCCATCTCAGGGACTTTTTTACTTGCTGCTCCTTTTGCCTGGAAGTGTCTTCCTCCAGATTTGGGCACAGGCAGCTCCTCGCCATTCAGGTGTTAGGAGAAGTCATTTTTAGAGACCTCCCCTGAATGACTTTTATAAAATAAATTCTTCTCCATACCTCATTTATACCTGCCCCCCTATAAATCATTCTACTCTTTATGCTATTTTCCCCATAATATTACCACTAGTTATACATATTACATGCTTATTATCTTTTACCACTGCCCCCCTACCCCACTATAATATAAGCTCTAAGAAAGCAGGATCTGTTTCACTCAACACTGCATCTTGAACAGAGTATAGCATATAAAAAAGCAGTTACTGTTTACTGAATGAACAATCTCCTAATTCAAATCCTGGATATAACCTTTAAAGAAATTATATAGGATAGCCATTGATTGAATATAAATATTTAATCCACAAAATCCTTACCTTTTCTACCCTCTGAAAGCTATTTTCATCTAGAAAGGGTTGACTTAGTTGGCTACAGTCTTTAAAATGCGTGCAAAAGTACATTCACACAGGAGATGGTCAAAGTAAAAGATAAAAACAATCCCCTCAGTGTCAGATTTCAACTGTATAGTATTTAAACATGGATTTTAAAACAACTGTACTTTGGGCCAATGTAAAAGTTTAAAGATGTTAAGATTCAACCTATGTTTCAACCCAAAGAAAACAATTTTAACCATTATATTCTTAGAATGTTACAAGTATCTTCAAAGAAAATGCTATAAAATTAGTTTTTACCTTGATACATAGCTTGTGCTCCAGTCCAAGCAAAAAGGCTTGCAATAGCATTAGCTCTAAAAACAACTTCTATCTGATCAGCACAGTTTTGTCTCAAAAGTCTTTCCCTTCTTAATTTGTTAGGTAACAGATGAAACTGGGTGTGACCGTAACAGCAAGGATCTGCAGTTTTTGAGCCTGAAGAGCAAAGAAAAACATTTCAGATGAAACAAACATGTAGAACATCTGGAGCACATGTTTTAGTATTTGTGCCTTTTTTTTCCTTCTTTATACATCATATTCTCAGTACTCTAAATACATAAGTAGGAATATTAATATACTTATATATCGTATGGATCATAATAAAATTAAATTTCACAGAAAAGCATAATTTCTCAATCTGCTATCATAAAGCCCATCAAAACAAGGAAGAAGCTGAAAGAATATATAGAAAAGTTATTTAAAATTTCTATTATCTGTTTTCTCAAATCCTTTAGTCATGATTAGCTATGGTTGTCTCCTTGTCATATTAACCAAGAGGATACAACTACTTCAAGACTCTAAAAACTTATTTAATGAAATAATTACACACTTTGCTCCTAATTTTTAAAAATTATTTTTACACTACTTTTCTAAGTAAAAAAAAAAAAATAAGTAGCAACATTTCATGAAATGCTGACATTCTTGATCTTAGTGGCAAAGTCTTTTCAACCAAGTGTTCCTTGCAGGTCACTACCTAAGACCGCAGTGACTGAGAAGAGGCTGATAAAATAGGTCTGGAGGGCTAGTATAAAACCTTCTTAAGACTTCTTCACATTGGGTAGGAATTAACAAAGGAAGAAAAAATGACAAAATAAGCTGCACGAGGGACGGCAGACATCGGGCATTATGAATTTGTGAATTCCTGATCTTACCACCATCCATGGCGCAAATAGAACACTTAAAAAAGTCAACAGCTATCTCAAGTCCAGTTCTAAAAGTTTTTACTTTTAAAAAAACACAAATTTATTTTTCTATCTAATAAGTCAACAAAGCCTATTTTCTAAAGTTAAATACTGCTATTTCGGTAGAAACAAGTAAAATTTCAAATAACAAACTTAAACAATATTTTCTTTCCAGTGTTTATGCATGTTGCAGTAACCTGAGATTATGAATTATATAGCTCATGGACTATGTAAACCTCTCGGTAATCAAGAATTAACCTCATTGTAGTCAATACTCCAAATTCGCATAGGACACTTTGAGATTATGAATTATATTGCTCACGGACTATGTAAACCTCTCGGTAATCAAGAATTAACTCTTCATTGTAGTCAATACTCCAAATTTGCATAGGACACTTTGAACACATTTATAGTATAATATGTCAAAAGAGAAACTTACCAACAAATATACGGTTTTCATACTGCCGTTTGAATAATGGAAGTTTGTCTGGTTTACATTTTATAGTGGGGATTTCTATAGGAACAGAATAATCCAATGGCACAAACTTAAAGAAAAAGAAAAGACATACTAAATTCACAGCAACATTAGTATGTATTTTACTCACACTCATTAGATTTAAAAATCTTAAAATGAGGCGGTTTCACAAAATGATTTGATAATACTATCATTGAATGATGGGCTAAATCCAGTAAGCCACCTGTTTTTACAGGTAAAGTTTTACTGGAAGACAGCCCACAGAAACTCATTTATAAATTGTGTATGGCACTCTGCACTGTAAGAGCAGAGCTGAACACTTGCAACAGAGATTTACAGCCTGTACAGCCTAAAATATTAACTATCCAGATCTTTACAGAAAAAGTATGTCAACCCTGACACGAAAGCACAGACAATACTCAAAATATACTTTCCTCCAAAAGAACTGCAAATATGTAAAATGGCCCAGCTGATAAGTGTTAAACTTCCTTGGTTTATGACTAGCTAGTGCAGTCTAGTAAATTACAATCATAAACTATTTCAGAATTTTTGTATTAAGAGAAACATACAGATCTGTATGGCCTGGCAAAATGACACCTTAACCTGTTTTTGTTAAAATGATTATCTGACCTTTGTGGTGTATACCGTAGCAGATTACATAAGCTAAAAAGATTTTTGAGATGTGATGTCTTCAAAAAGGAAACTTGAAAGGCAAGAGATCCATCTGAAACATTTTATTCTACTATTACTTAACCTGCCTATGACAGATCCTACGTGAGATATCAACAGATACATAATCACAATAAATCCTTACCTCTGCGAGTTGCTTGGATATTCGAACCTGGTTGTTTGGTTTATCATCTATCTGGTATCGCAAGTCATCAATTCGACCTTTTCGATGACCACGAGGAATAATTTCTTCACCACGCACCCAGTAAAAATGAACTGGGCGTCTATAATCTATCAAAAAGATATTCAAAATTTTTTTCATCTGATCATCTAAATAAATTTGGTTACTATTAGAACACTAAAGAGTACTAACTTAGCAAATGATAAGAATGATGGAAGTAAGAGTCTGGGTTATGTGACAATTTAACTATTATGACTTAAATATAACATTCAAACTTTTGTCTATTTGTGCCATCATTACTCTGAACATTAACCAAAGAGATTTCTCATTAGGAGTAATAAAAGAAAATAAGACTAACAAGAGTATCATTCACCATAAACAAAAATAGGACTATTTTATGAACTACCAATTCAATTTTCACAATAACTCCCAAAGGTATGTATACTTTTCATTATCTCCATTTTATAGAAGAGGAACCTAGGTCTTGACAAAGTTAAATAGGTTTTCTAGGCCATCCATCAGGAGTAGTCTAAGTTCATGACGCTTTCCTCAAGACTTCTTTCTCAACTGGAGAAGGGAAAAAACATGTACACAGCAAGGCTAAGTTGAGCACACATCTACAGTCCTAACATTACTTCAATATTAAGACATCCACTTCGTAGAAGATATAAAATGATGAATACGTCAAAAACAATAATTTTTAAAATTATCTATATGTTAATTACTTTTCATGTCCGCCCTGAGCGGTTACACAGAAGCTGCTGATGGTTTACTAGGAACTTGGAATGGGGGTTTGAAGTTTGACCCCCCACCCCGCGCCAATCTATTAGCTATAGGGTCCTCAGGCAGACACATTTAACGTTTCTATGCCTCAGTTTGTTACATTTTGGTCTTTTTTGCATTTACCAAAACATTGCTACCCATCGTGAACGGTTATTGTGAGGATTAATAAGTTGGCACATACAAAATTTAGAACAGGGCCTAGCACATAAATACTCAGTAAATGTTAGGTATCTTAGTTAATATTTCATTTAATCTTCACAATTGTACGACGAAGAACCACTACCGTAAAATGCGAAAAATTAAGCAAAAAAGAAGTTGCTAAAGAAAAAGAAAAGGCACATTAAATTTAAAATTAAGCTAAAAAGAATACTACTCAGCCGTGTGACACACCGTCACACAGCTTTCTGGTGGAACAGCCAAAAGGAAACCTGGCCCGCCCCACTCTCTTAAGTGGCGTTTTTCTTCATCACCACTGCTCTTCCATTCGGCTTAACCCTCACAAAGTAGAGTCCAGGACTGGAATCCTAGAGAGCTCAGGCTACCAGAGTTGAAGAGCTGGTAGGTGTTAGCGCAGCCACAAACACGTAGTCTCTAGATTCCTAACGCAGTGACTGTTACAAAACTAGGTCACCCCAGATAGGAACGAAAGAACTAGGAAAACAAGAACGAAGCAGAGAGAAAGAAATGATGAGGGGTAAATCTGCGGCGGAGTAACCCAGTACAATCCCCCATCTCTCCCTTCCGCCCTGGGGGATCCAAGGCTCACCGAGGGCGGCAGCGGCCAGGGCCGGGTTGTGTGGGCTGAGGAGGCCCACGAGGGTTGCCACCAGCTGATCCAGGAAGGGCAAAGATATGACCTCGCTCTCCTCGTAACGGTGCACGCGCCGTTTACGCCGCAGGTAAAAGTGCTCCTGCAGCAGGCAGTCGCAGGCGACGGCACGCAGCGCCGCGAGGTCCAGCGCGGGTTCGGGTTCGGGCTCGGGCTCCGCGGGGGTCGGCGGCAGACCCGACAGGAACACGGTCTTGGTGAAGTACTGGTACCAGCGGTCAGCGTTCAGCGCGAAGGTCTGCGGGTAAACCATGTACTTCATAAACTGCATCTTGGTGAGAATTCGCAGCTTCTCGTCTACCGACTCCGCAGCGTGCACCGTCGCCTGCCAGCGTTCGATTCGCCGCAGCCGTGCCGCCTTGCTGTCGGCTGTCATGGAGGCCACAATCGGCGGGTACCGCGCGACGGGGGTCGCCGCGACATCTTGGCAGGTCGTTTCTGTAGCCGTGGCGGCGGCATTAGCCGCGGTGTGCAATGAAAGGCTCGGACCGCGAAGCATAGGCCTCCACCACCTGGCCGCCGCCATCTTTACCCGCGGTTCCGGACCCAGAGGTCGACTTAAACAATTGTCCCTCTCTTGCTGTAGGGGGCCAATAGGAAAACGTAATCTGAGCCAGTCTAGGAAAGGCAGAGTCTCAGTGGGCGTGAGTTATGTTGCGTCATTCATGGGTTAGCCAATCATATAACTTCTCCAGTCGCGGTTTCCTGCGTTTGTAGATGGAAGGAAGAGCTTGTGTGCTTAGGCCTTACGCTGGTGGGAGATGCTGCCACCTAGGTTACTTGTAGGACCCTATAGGGCAACCTCCCTTTCCAGGAACTGTTTGGGAACATCTTGCAGGAAAATGGCAGGCCCTTGGTTAAACGTATTGGCTTCATTTGTGTGTCTCACAACACTTCTTTTCAGTTTTAGTTCTAGGAATAGAAACTTATTTTTGGAAATACATTACTAGCATGTTTTTCAGTATACTTGATTATATTTAAAAATTATGCAAGCATCACTCGTGACCTACTACTAATCTTTGGGAAAATAATTCTATATATTTATCTGTGCTTAAATACAGATAATTTGTTTAATGATATTTATTTTGAAAGAGGGGCGTATTTTTACTTGGATTTAACTGGGGAAGACAGAAAAAGGAAATAAAACTATTAAAGAATTGTGTTTAAATTTTGCCTTGTGTTAAAACCATTGTAAATTCAACACGAGTTGTTCTTACTAATCTGTGAGCCTCTTAAAAAGGGACTGATTTAATTTTTAATATTAAGCAACAAATCAATACCTGTGCATAATGGGTGCTCAGTAAATATATGCTAAAAAAAATCACCAAAATCTCATCTTATTTTGGGTAATCTAATTTATTGATTCACTCTTCTATAATTAGGAACTAGAATATTAATTTGGATTTGTTGTAATAATTCTTTAGAGTATTAAAACCCAAATGTCTTGTTGCTAAAAAGAATTTATATTTTTAAGTCAAAACAGATGGTACGGTTTAACTTTGAAACTACAAGTCTATTAAACTGACCTTTAGAAGTAAAATACAATACTTCAGTTTCATTAATATCTTCAGTGAGAAGTTGCTAATGGAATCTAAAATATCCGTTCTACGTTATTAACAAAAGGAGGACATGAAGACTTGAGATCTTTAAAACCGAAATTTAATATTTAAAGAGTAAAAGTGAGGTACTCAATGTTATCTAAGTCGAAGTGACAGGTTTTCGTGTAAATAAGTAATAAATACGCTGCTTGAGAATGTACCATAGAAATCCTAGGTTGATATTTTTTAAATACTTATAGTATTACAGCATTGATTTTAGGATTAGAAATTAGAGCTAGAGACCAATTAACACCAAAAGACATAATCCTGTCAGAAAGTGCCTTTATGGCTTTTTGTGAGTGAATCAAAATAACTTCAATTTATTCAATACTTACTGATTATCAACATTATGAACCAAGGAATGAGGCTGTGGGAAAGAAAGTATACTTAATGAAGGGTGGAGCAGTCTGGGCCAGAGGAAAGGTCGAGTAAGACTAGCAATGAACAGAACAGCCTATCTATGAGAAAGGACTGAGTCAGAGCCATGGAAAGAAGGCTATCTAATATGGTCCAAAGATTTTATGTTACACACAAGGAAACAGACATAAAGCCAAAGTAATATAGCATGGTAGGGGCAGTATTGAGACTGGAACCCAGGCTGCTGGCCTCTCAGTCGGTTTTACTTAATGGATTTTATTGAGTGTCTTTTATATGTTAGGCAGTGATCCAAGTGCTCAGGATAGTTAATGAACCAAGCAAACAAAAGTTTACACTCTTAACAGGGAGACAGACAATAAAATATAATCATAGTAGTAAATTATATGATGTGTTAAAAGGGGATAAACACACAGGGGAAAAAAAACAGCTAGAGAAGTGAAGATCATCAGAGCAGTGTATTTGGTGGGGGTGGGGGCAGGTGAGGAGTGTTGTTTGCAATGCTTATTGAAAGGAAAACATTCATCTAGCAAAGGTTTGAAGGAAGTGAGGAGTGAACCATACCAGTATCAATGAATGCTGTTCTAGAAAGAGCAGCTAGTATAGGGCCGTGAGATGGAAACATGCCTGATGCGTTCAAGAGTTAGGTAATTGGCCAGTGTGGTTGAAAGGAATGATGGGTGGGCAACGTAGTAGGAAATGGGGCTAGAAAGGAAAAGAGCCAGAAACTAAAGGCTCCTGAAGGCAATTGCTAGGATTAAGACTGGAGAGTCATTGGAGGGTTCTACTCAGAAGACCGTCATGGTGTGACTTAGGTTTTTAAAAGAATTTCTCAGCATATTAGTTGGCTTGGGCTTCCACAACAAAATGCTACATACTGGGTGACTTGAACAACAGACATTTATTTTCTTATATTCTGGAAGCTAGAAGTCCAAGATGAGCATGCCAATATGATCAGAATCTGGTGAGGGCTTTCCTCCTGACTTGCAGACAGCTACCTTCTCCTTGTGTCCTCATAGGGTGAAGAGAAAACAACCTCTTTGGTGTTTCGTCTCATAAGGGCCCTTGCCTTGTGACCTCATTAAATCTGAGTTAGTTCCATAATGTCCCTATCTCACATTAGGGGTCAGGGTTTCAGCATATGAATTTAGTGGGGAGACAATCCAGTCCATTGCATTGTAGCTGATTTGGAAGTAAAGATTGTAGCAGGTCAAATTTGGAAGAGGGAAACCAGTTAGCAGACAGTTGGCCATATTTTAGGCAAGGACTTATTGTGGCTTAAAGGGGTAATAGCAGTGGAGACAGTGGGAAGCAATGAGAAAAAGATGATTCGTGAAAGACTCTAAAATTTGGGATCTGAGCAGTCGGATGAGGGAAAAAGGCCTATGGACACAGTGTGTTTACCTTTTTGTTAATCCCTCATTTTTTTAGGGGAGAGTGGCAGAGAGAGTGGGTTGAGGTTTAGAGAAGGGAATGGGAGAATTTGTAAAGCATATGCTTATCTATTTGTATATGTTTATGTTTAAATTCTCCTGGAAGAAAATTGATGTTAAGATCTTTCCTGTTAATGTTTCCATTGATCTTTTATTTAAAGTATTACAATTCAAAACAGTGAAGCCATGACATTCTCCAATGCTTTTTGAACCCTCTCTACATCATTCATTGAACAGGTATTTAAGTGACTGGTGTATACCAATACTGTTCTAGGTGCAGAAAATACTGCAATAAAATAAAGGCCTTCATGGAGTTTACATGCTAATGGGTGAAGTAATCTAGCCAAATATGTCACATATACATATTCCAAATTAAATAGTACTAGGAGCCAAGAAGAAAAATGAAGCAGGAAAGCAGACTGAATAGTGTTAGACATAGGAGTTGAGTGGAATAGTTTCAATAAACTAATCACACAAGGCCTTCCTGAGAAGATGACATTTGAGTAACACTTGAAGGGGATGAAGGATAGAGCCATGTGGTGGGAGACACGTCTGGTGGGAGGGAGGAAGATTCCAGCCTGAACAAAGGCCCCAATCCTCCTCTAGCATACCTGGAAACTGGGAAGAATAGCAAGGAAGCCAGTACAGTTAAGGTGGAATGGAACACTTTTCCAGCGATCACAATTACCTTATTCAGAAACAGGTTCTGATGAGTGGGATAATATTTGTAACCACTGTATTTTTTGGTATTGAATGTCTGTCTTGATCAATTTTAGTTGAGCATCAGACAATTCTGTTGATGTTTGAATAAGATTAAACTTTCCCAATCAACTGCAGTTTTTACCAGAGCTTTTTTACTATCAAATTGATGAGGTGAGAAGGAGACAGAAACTATTTCCTACCAACAGATGTAGTGGGAGTTGCAGCTGGTTCTTTTTGAGCGTTGTTTCTTTTGCATATATTTCCTACGTAACGCAGATATCTTACCCAGTTGTATGTATAACAAATTTATGTAAAACTGAGAGCATAATATTTTGGGGAAAGAAAGGTGCATTTTTGTGCTTGATTTGTTTTTGAAGGGTTTCTGATAGTTGGTTCGGAACTAATAGGAAGGAAGCTAAGTGTCTACATTACATGCCAGCTACTGTATTAAGAACTTCATATGTATTTAAATCTACATAACCACATAGTCACAATCACCTTTCAAAGTAAATATTATCTTCCCTCTCTCCCCCTTTTTTTTGGTCTGCAAAGTCATAAAACTCTTACACATCAAGAGATGAAGATTAGCTAAAACAATTTTGAAAAAGAATAAAGTAGGAGGATCGGTCTACTTGATTTCAAGCCTTGATGTATAGCTACAGTAATCAATGGAGAGAGATAACCTTTTTGGCAAATTGTGTTGGGGCAATAGGACACCCATTGGTCAATAGGTAAATAAACTTCAATCTATCTCTTACACCTTTTGGAAAAATTAAATTAAAATGACTACAAATTTCAATGAAAGCATACAATTATTACCAAAATATAAGAGAAAAAAACTGCAGTATATAGGATTAGGCAAAGAATTCCTAGAGTTGATATCAAAAGCATAATCCATAAAAGTAAAACTTGGTAAATTTTAACCAGCAATTGCACTCTTGGGGCATTTTTCCCAGGTAAATGAAAATTTATTTTCAAGCAAAAACCTCTTCATGATACAGCCTTATTCATTATAGCCCAACATCGGAAACAAACAAGCAGATGTTCTTGAACAATTCATGCAGTAGACCTGGATAAATCTCCAGAAAATTACACTGGCCTCGCAAAAAGCCAATACCAAAAGGTTACGTATGGTAAGATTTCATTTCTATAACATTCTTGAGGTAACAAAGTTATAGAAGTGGAACACAGATTAGTAGTTGGTAGAGATTAAGGAGTAGGTGAGATGGGAAGGAAGTGAAAATTCCTATAAAAGAGCAACATAAGGGATTCTCCTGATAATGGAAATGTTCTCTATCTTAACTGTATCAATGTCAATCCTGGTGTATTACTTTGCTATAGTTCTGCAAGATGTTCCTGGAAATTGGGTGAAAGGTGTAGGAGATTTAGCTGTATTATTCTTGCAAAAGCTTGTTAATATATAATTATCTTAAAATAAAGTTTTAATTAAAAAATAAAAGCAAATGAGGTAGAGTTCTTGGACTTAGGGAGAAATATTATATGCTTCAGGTTAAGTAGGCTTCAGTAGGTCTGCATCGGTAGCTGTCACAATCCCAGTGATTCTACAAATAGGGGAACCTGAGCATTTTATCTTGAACTACAAATTAATAATTACATTTTAAAATTTATATTACAGTGGAGTATCATATAAAGATATACTTTTTGAATTTATGGGTTTCAGTCTGTTATCTGAAGATTTTATTTCAGGATATTAGAGGGAGTGTTGCAAACTATAAA